GTGGGTTAGTGGTTGTGCCCACTGACTCTATGGTGTTCGAGAAAACCTCACGGTTCCAATATTGTGTGACGGTAACGAAGCTGGGAAGCAGAATAATGTGAAGTATAGCGACAAGGCACTTATTGATTTCCTTACAAATGCGAATTTTCAGTAGTGGAATACGAAACCGACCGAAAATCGTTGACGTTATGTAACTCAATCGAGTCTGAGTAGAAAGCAAAACACGAACTCTTTTTAAATGTTTTAATGAATGGCAGGCAGCAAAGACGAGTATGTCTCAGTTGCAAGCTTGCAGATGTCAAAGAAGTGGTACCACTGCAACTTGGAAAAGGATGTTTACTAGCAATTCGAGAAGATTTGAGGATTTTCGTCCTATAATGAAAAGCCGAACTTGATCACACGAGATTCAGCTAGTCTGGCCACTCAGATCAAGCATCATTAATAACGTCCCAATGCGACAACTGCTTCAGCTCACTAGCAAGCAGTTGTCATGTAACAAACAGTTGGAGTTAGAGTAGACTACTGTGCTTCAAGACCCATTTTACAATATCTTCATTGCTACGGAGAGTACATCTGTTATCTGCAAACGAGTTCGACAAACCACATGTTTAGTGATCAAATTTTCGGTAGACACGCACCAGTAACGAAGGCCTTGATGTCTGTTTTACTAATTCTTTAAAAAATAATATTTGAAATACTTTTTTATGCACTATGCGCTAAGACTGCTGGTAGACCCGTCCGAAAAAACGCAACATTAACCAAGTTGCTTTCTCTATTTACCAGAGTTATGTGCGCCAAGCCTGAGGTCAGTCGCTGCCTTGGTAACCGGTTTTCACTACACTATGGGATTTCTCTAACAGAACATCCTACACAAATTTCAGTAGACATGGTCTGAGAAAACGTCAGATTGTTTGAAGCGAACTGCAAGGCGGACGCGAAGATCTGTTAAATAGGTTGCATTTTGGACAGCACACAGAAGGCGCTCTCATTAATCGTGTGAGAAAGCTCAAACAATCTTGTTGTTGGTGTTGATCCTTCAATAGGTTTGGGTTGTATTGTTCTACCACCACCGCTGCCACAACTAGACGATCACTTTTTCTAGACGTCTTATTAATACAGTTACTACATTGTGCGGGAATTCACTTACTGACGTGTTTCGATAGCTATCTACCCAATGTGTGTGATGAGCACGAACCTATGCTTTTCAACTTAGCAAGCCTAGAAGCACGCACGAAGGTAACAAACACACAGAAGTCTAGCTACGTACGCTGTGTTGGTAGGCGTATGTATTCAGGAACGATCCGGTTCAGGGCTGAATTTGACGCATTGAATATGAGCCATAGGCAATTTCATTCGGTCCATCTGGTTAGCTGTACATGGTAAAAAAAACCTCAACTACGATTTCAGGTGTTACTCACTGAAAAGGTGCAGCATTTACTTTGACAGCTTAGACAAGACACAACACTAAGCCTACCCATGCATGTATACTAGCGCACGATTATTCTAAAACATGAATATACTACTTTGGCGAGGTAAACAGAAGAAAATGGGTAATGGAAGGAAAGCTTGCGTCAGAACTACCCCGTCGGTGTCATGGACCATTTTTGCCTTCAGTTAGGATCCTACAGCCGAATTTTGGTAAATTGAGCTGACGGTGGGTCAAGTGAAGCAGGTCCCTTTGAAAACAGCGAACGTCTCTGTATTTTGTCCACCTTACCCTTGTATCTGCTCCCTGCAGCACTTCATGAGCTCAGCCGAATTGGCAGTGGTGACCGTGGGGTGGTAACGAAGGCACCATCAAACAAAGGAGTCTAATCGCCAACTTACCACTCACAAGAAGTAGCAGGACTGTGACGCATTCAACATCTGAGCTTAGGCATGTTCCCAGTCGACTGCATTGCCGTTCCACCTGCTAGACGGCGAAAATATAATTTATACTACTGCCTCTCTTCAGTAGTGTCGTTTTAGAAGTGAATACTTTGGTCCAGATGACGAGCCCCGGCCATCTGTGAGATCATTCCATAATTCACTCCCAAACAGATGAATTCTGGGCTCATTCGCTCACTGCTTCAGTTTTTCTTTTAAGTTTGACATAAATTACTACTTTTGGTAAGTTCACAGGGCCTTCCACATAAGGTCCATTAGAGTATTACTGCTAAACTATGCTGTGGTAACTGCAGGTGAGAGAATACACACCAAATCAAATTTGTCGCATGATATATGCGGATGTAGCGAATTGTGCCTGTAGTACTACAGTTTCTGCGTAAACCAAAAGGGAACATTTTAACAGTTTGATTAAATGACCGGTCGCGAAGACAGCTGTCACATGCAGTATATAATGTACCGTCAAAATTTTGAGGACACAGATGCCATGTTTATTTGTTGTGCACCGCTAGGAGGAGACCTAAGAATAGGGTCTGTGAACAAATTGCTACAGCTTGTTCCTCATAAATGTGCAAATTTAACTGAACTTCGGTAGAATTTCATCGCAAGTATTTTTATGGCTTCGGAAGCATTGTTTCTTTGAATCTTTGTAGAATTGGCCCTGATGAAAGGGTGCCTGACGCTGAGTTATTCTTATCAGACAAGGTTGTGCAGTTGGTACATAGTTTATCGAATCCTAGGCGCTAGCCAGTTATTGTGTAATGTCAGTAACCAGTAATTTGTAACTGAATGTAACTGAATATACACACCAGCTTGGCGTAATAGACTAATGAAAGGTTGCTGAAAACTTAGTGACAGCCCAAGACCAATATAAGTAGGAGATTTGGCTGGATTCATTTGAATCTTGCGTAAAGACCAAACTTGTATGCAAACAGAGGGATTGCCGGATTCAGCCTAATTTAGGTTCAAGTAGAAAATGAACTTGATTGAAACTCGAGAGCTCCGCCTGCCCGTTGATCCCCAAAAAGGAAGAGACTGATCATGGACTGTCGAAGGGATTTCAGTGACATTGTGAATCCTCTTCCTCACGGAAATGTACTGCGATCTGTTGAATACAGTACCAACTGGATCATATTTGGCTGAAGCAGACCATCATAAAAAAGAGATTCGGGTAGACACAGTTGAGCCTTTCGTCAAAACCAAATTCGTATGCAAATGAGAGTAGTTGGAAAATACAAATGCATAAACATATATGTATATGTATAGCACTTTATTACAGAATAGTCCGTAGATGCCTAGTTTCCAGAATTCACCTGTCAAGTTTGGGACAGCTGCCACTTGAATTCGAAGAAAACGAGTGTTTGGAACTACAAATTCAACATAAGGTGACTTCGGATTTTCGGCGTCAACTGATGTCGTATCATCTCATCAACTGCACGTAACTTAAGCCTCGATGACCTGCAAAAACTGCTAGTTATTCAGTGTTGGTTTGGTACTTGTGGATTCTGGAGGAGCATATTTTGGTAACTGCTTTTTCTCGGCAAAAGTGAAACTCATGCGAAAGTGGTAAAAAATGTGTCGGTGTGTGGGTTGTGTAAGGTTTTGAAGTTAACGTGGGAAGCGCGACGATAACAAGCCAGTGGGCTTCGCGAACAAATGTGTTGACCGAATAGGGAATGAGAGTTTTTGGTTACGGGGGTCATTTTTTACGGATTAATCAGCAAATGGTTTAAGACATCTCATAACTGAAGCACATGATGAAAGTCGTAGGTTCCATTTGACTCAGGATAATCCATCCGGAGAGAAGTTTATAAACCGTGGGTTTAATCTTGCCCATGGTGATCAACTTTCTAGAGGATCTGTGATGATCGTCCTTCTCCATCGAAGACCAAAGCATATATCTTTTGATAAACGGCCCACCAAAGCGGCTGGATAACAACGTATTACGTGGCTACATATCGTGCGGGGCTATTCTACTAGTATATTTCTAGACAGATTTTGCAGCTCATTTGTTCTGCCTCGAGAGCATTTATGTGGAAATCATCTACTCCCCCGGTAGAAGTCCAAAAACGATCAAATATTACAGAGAGGATTAGCTGCAAACTAACTAAACTTCCATTGTGTATGGGTGCCTGTTTTACGGGTTTTATTCCGCTTTGATTTACGTGCAATCCATGAACGAGTTGGAATAACAACAGCTTGATGCCAGCACAAGTCATTTCGTTAGAGTGAAATGCTATTTGAGTTTTCAGTAGACTATCTAACCTGTTGTATCATCACGCCTTTTCGGAAATCGTCACTTTTCATCCGGTGATCACTGGCCTCATAACTATGAATCTCACAAACAGAGCTTGCTCTTACAGCGTTTACTGAACACGCTCGTAATGATGTGTGAGAAGTGAACGCGCACGAGAAACAAGGATGAAACGTACTACTCACAATGCTGCTGGAAACTTTTCGATAGCCCATGAACACCTTCACCCTTTTTGAGATTCACCATGTAGGCACCATCCGCCCGTTTCGCCAGGCATGAACCCAAATTCTAAGCAACTCAAGTTGGTACTGACGGGTGACTCTGAATCTCAGCTGAATCTGTCGTTTATGATAATCTTCAACTGAATGTGCTGCACAAAGGACGCCTCATTTTCGGGATTTCACAGTATATTTTTTTGATCTGCTCGATGCAGAAAGTGTGCCTGGCATCTATTGTTGATCACTGAAACTCTGAGAGCGAAATGAATGCAACTAGGTCTACTGTAAGGGTTAGGGTATCACGTTTCAAAAGTTGAGCAATCTATTTGGAAAAGAAATCCGTCCGTACTTAGGTGGGACAAGATATGGCCATAATTTTTTCCAGTAGGTTATCTAGAATGACCTTCGATTGTTAGTTTGAGTATTGTTTCGGCCTTCATCTGTCTGTCCGTCTATCTGTCTGCCTATCCATTGCCTGATTTATTGAGTTCGTCTTGCAAGTACACGGTTTACTAAGTAAAGTGCATATAGAGCGCAAATGAAGTCAGATGGTTGGTCCAAACAACAAGATCGAATATGAAGTCAGTGGCAACAAAATTCATGCACACTGAATTCGCAGTGGCTTCTACAATGTACTCGAACTAATGAAAATGCAACAACAAGCCTCGGAAGTGGAGCTTCATGTCTATGTTGTGCCCCCCAACTTATGGGAGCCGAGTTTATACACCGCATTTCCGCAACTTATCAAACAGACTGTGTCAGCCGGAATTATTCGAACTAAACCGGATTTGACACTCGATCGATTGCGTGGTTTAATAAAAGATCAGCTTGGCCCACAGTTTCTTCCGAAAGACTACCTTTTCTGTAAAAGCGTGGGTCATTCAATCGGGCGGGTAGGGTATTCCTTTGTATTCCTGCAGATAATTCGTTCTCCAGATCAGATCCAAACAAGAACACTTATTTTTCACGAAACACTTTGTCCCTCCAGTGGTAAGTTCTCCCTTTGTCAGATTATTGTCTATTTGAGTGTAAGAATTTATGATGATGGTGATGAGCAGGATGAATAAATACTGTTCACAAAAAGTTGATTATTCTGGGTTAATACCGATTTTTAAAAGTGACTTCAAAACAACAATTAGATCATTAAGTGCTGACGTTTTCATGAATTTTCACAGAAAACCATTCTTTCGAAAAGCACGTGAAAGTCATGTAGGTTTCAACGAGGAATCGCACAAACGTTTCCAAGAGTTTTTAAGCGTACAAGCCCTAGACAACGGCTAAATTATTACAGCTTGCAAAATTCAAACGTGTTACTTATTTTCTATGGGAATTATACCTTTTACCAGGTCTTAGAACTAAGCGGAAGCACGCTGATGCGCATCAGAAATCCCATTTCTAGTTGCACAGCAATATGGATCGAAAAGACTACGTGACTCTTCCAAGCATAATTGCGTTTAGATAGCCCACTCACCCCAGTCTAGCATTACGGTGGCAGTCACGTGCGACGATAAACTATAGCTGGTAGGAAAACAAGACAGTAAATGGAATATAGGAATTCTATCAGTTTAGTAACCACCTTATTATCTTCAGTCAAATGCGATATTGGATCTACAGATGGCCCGATCAATTCCAAAAAACAAAATCACGTGTCTCAATTGGTTTTGTGCGTATGGTCTGGGCTGATGCTATTTTACCAACAGAGGTTCGCTAATCGCCGAAAATCCTTGGAACTTGTACTACACGGCGAGACACAATGGGGGTTCATGGACTCGATTTGGCGCTCTTTGTCCAGCGTGTTTAGCTACCAGTGATGCAGGACTGACGGCTTTGCCTTGCATTACGTTTCGCTTGGCATGTCTGGCCCGCCAGTTTAATCATTTTCCACGTGGTAGCTTTCGGATTGAACAATTATCTTTTATCAGATAGGTTCATTAAGCGATTGGCAGATTCACTAAAAATTTAGGAAGCGAGGAACTCTCTGTAGGTTTCAACATTTTTCAAGTGACATCTTTCCCGTTGTTTGAGTGAGTGAAGCCTGTTATAGGTTAAAGGAGCGCTCTGGATAATCAGTTGTTGACAGCATATTCAAAGGTTTATCCAAGCCACGTAGTCTCCCCGCGCTGAAGAATAAGGCGATTACCAGATGGACGTAAGAGTAACCTACTCAAATTGAACCCACGAAACGGATATACATGGCTCCTGTGGCAGAGTGAACTGTGTAGGATACTATCGACACGTCTGCCGGTAAGTTATGGTATTTCACTTGTGAGACTCTCGCGCACCCATTGGCAAAGGATCCGTACTAACACAGCAGACAATTCGTAGCGTCAGGCCTACATAGATTCCATTGCTGTACAGACCCAGATGAATAACGAATAACACTGGCTAGCCATATTGGTATGTCTAGGGTGCGGCTCCTCCTTTGCATTCATTATTGGGTTGAAACGTTCAGATTGACTTCCTTGAATTGACAATTATAAGCCACCAGTTGGTCATGCTGGTGGCTGTTCACTATCCGAGTTCACAGCGCATGCACGGTGTACAGGTGTTTACACATATCTCTCAACGTAAACCCTACGTGACATTGCCTATTGTGCATCGATGTCTACCTGCTTTGTTCGACATGATAGGTCAGTCTGAAAACAGATACCCCAAGATTATAAACTGCGATCCAATTCACACATGTCAGCGTGGGTCACCATAAGTGAAAACGGGGTTGTTTCGAAGTGAGTGAAAATGTTCCATGTTGGTAATACCAAAAAATCACCAGCGAAACGTTTACAAAACAGAAACATTGAAATTTCAACAAAACTCGTATGTCCAGCCATTTCTATGAAGATACGTCCGGTGTTGGGCCTAAAGGAATGCTTATAGTAATACCACCAGGCCGCTTGAGTGTGCTTTCCTGGAACAGAAACCACGTATGCAAATCAAACACAGCCAGTTGATTAATGTAATCATTGGGATTATGGCTAAAACGGGTAGTCTCATGGGCGGGTACACTGATGTTACAGCCAAATTGATGGACAATACAACTGATGTATAGAGATGGCCCATGGGAGATTAACTCTCAATAACTTACCACAATACAATCGTGACTATTTGGCTTGAAGCAAGCCCATAAATAAAGGAAAAGTACATTTTGCTCGCCATTTTCAAAAGTTTCGTCAACCAATGTGTGCCTTTCGATAGACTGTGTTGTTCGCGCATATAACTGATGCTAAATGGGCACTGTCTTCGTGCATTTTAAGGTTACTGCGCGCACCTGAAGTTATCTACTTTGAACTTCGCAAACCGGTAGTCTGTTTCTGAGATTTAACTACAAAGCTCTAAAACTGCTTTAGTGGTGGTTTTTCATCCAAAGGCTGTCACTTTTGAACTTTCTGTGGGAGTCGTACTAGGCTAGTCATAAGGTTGCTGAAAGCCCTTCAACAACCCCCGATCAGTTTCGCCCTACTTGGGGCTCATCATTTAGGTGCATTCCCCGAGTTTCCCCCGACTTTATGTTCTGCCTTAACCCAGATCGATGGAACTCAACAAATACACTCATTTGTACATCACTTTGTTTTTGACGGCAAACTCATCCGAAACCCAACCGACTCTCGTTTATGATGATTTCAAGCAACTGGATGTATCGCACCAGGCCGTCTCATGTTTAAGAGCACGATACACGAAAGATTTAGCTAGGTTTTAGGCAAATCTTCCGTCAAAACCAAAATGATATACAAACGAGTGTATTTGTCGAAATATGTGAGGATGTGATTCACCCATTCTAGGCACCCGTCTCTGGTTGGGACTTCCTTACCTAACCCTGTAGAGGAAGAGCAGATGTTTTATTTCCCGCAATGCTTTGGCCGCTTTAAAAAGCTCAGGTTTCAAGCACCCTTGATGATTTACTGTAGCGGATAAATAGCATGGTGAAATTCTAAACGGTGGCGCTGAACCAGCAGCCCAATCTTTGGATTCTCAACTGACCATACGTGTAATCAAACTGCATCCGTCTTGGTGATGTCTCCAATTTTTTGCCAAATGACAAGATTTCCGATTGGAGCGAGTTGAAATAAACTTTCGTGAGGTTGTTGATGTTCTTTTATCTGTCACTTGGATACCTGAGCTCGCTGCTCGACAGCTTAGAGGGAGCTGTTGAGGACGGCTGAACACTTCTGGTTCAGCTATCTCCAAGATAGCTCTGAATAAGCTCTCGAAGTTAACTCCCTAAATAGGGTATGGCTGATGAGGAACATGAAGTATACAGCTTGGCTGCCTTGACAGATTCTGCGTTTGCAAGTGAAGGTAGTAAAAGAAAGTTTAACATTTCATGGTGTATATCCTCCTTTAGTTTTGGACAGTTTGGTTGTAAGCGTTTCGTCACAAGTCGAGGTGATACTGTCAGCACACTGTGAGTGGAAGTACGCACTTCCACTTACCCACTTCGATTGTTTTACATCCACCGCTCCGGAAAATCGGTTTGTATTTCCTGTCCAGAGATTCCACAGTGATCGAAACATCCCCAAACTATATACTTTAGTACAATAGCCCCCTTACTTATTGTGCTCGAACTCATCACTCAGTTGGTCAATGATGCGGGCGGTGCCAATGAATGGGACTGACGTCATAATCACGCTGACCTGATCTGGTCAACTTACGACCATTGAAAAGCTGGAGGAGACGCGTAGTGTACCAAATGTGTTATCTTAAATCCCCTTGCTCCGACACTTGCTCTTGAGTGGGATGAAACAGCGGTCTACAAACAGTGTGTTAATCATTAGATATATTAGTGAGTCATCTTCATTTCCAGCACTTGGAACGCAGAGATCGTTCTTGGGGAGTACGGTGTCATCATCGACATCATCATTGTCAGCTGTAAGAACCGCCGCACTTGTCGTACAGGGGTTGTAGCTGCCACAATTTCGTTCACCGATGATTTAGGGAGGTGAGGTATGTAGCTGCGCATTGGAGGCGGGAGCTGATAAATTGGGGCGTCAATACAGCACTGCCAGTGGACTGTCATGTGAGGGTTTTGGGTAGGAAGCTATGAATTAAAGGCAATAGCTTGGATGCACGAGCGCCATTGAGGGCACGACTGGGCCATGTCTGACAATGTCTCTATTCATTGATGTGGCCCGTCTCGGGGTCCCAATCCAGGAAAACGGCAATAAATAGCGCAGTTGACATTGTTGGTGATGGCTTTTATACTTCGCTAACAAGTCATTGTTTGACCACCTCTGGCTCGTTTCTGCCCTTCACTTGGTTGTGCGAAAAGAACCCTTCGAGGAAGTCGGTCGACTGGCATACGGAGCACGTGGCCAAGCCAATGCAACCTGTGGAGTGTGATCAGTTCAGTTATCGAGGGCGAGTTAATTATTCCGAATACCATTCGACGCACTTCAGCAGTGCTGATCCGGTATTCCCACCAGACCCGGGAACGGCCACTGTTTAGGCCCAATTCGACCTCTTTGTGGTGTCCATTTTATGTTCACCCGTGCTGTTTACTTTCTCTCCATTTATTCACCAACACGGAATAATTCTGTATAGCTAAAGTAGACGGTGAACGTTATAATCAATTAGTGTCTACACCTTTAGGATTTTCGTATTCTACCTTTAATTTCTGGTTGGGTCTATGAACTCAGAATTATTACTCACGGTGGTAAAAACATTCCACTTCACACTAGGGAATCTTCTATTTTTTTGTTCAGTACTACTGGCGAATCGTCTAAACGGCTGCCCTATGACAAATATACAAGCAAAACTTGAGTTGTATTTCTCTAAACATAATCCCTGAAAACTCCGTGTTAAGTGATTTATCACCCAGAAATGGCCAAACGATCAACAAAAGTGCGTATTTATTTACTTTGAGATGCATAAAGCCTTACTTGACCAAAATCGGAAATGGGATTTGTTGATCACTGAAGGAAAAAGATAATGTGACTTTACAAAGACGAGGAGAAATTGACGGGAATTGTGCTCTGCGGAGGGCTCAGTGGTCTTCCATAAATGAAGTAGTTATCTGATCCTATGTATGGTCATTCTGAGTTATTTCATGTAATGCGCCCACAGAAACATGCCGAACGTTAATGGAAAGATTCAGAGGGGCGTAAGAGCCTAAAGTCAAAAGTCAATCGGCTATGAAGCTGATAGATGGGGCAATGGAATAGCCGGATCCCGACAGCCTTAGCAAGGAAAGATCTTTCGTCCTTATCACAGATGAAGAGGAGGAGTCTGACTAACAGCTGTAGGCTGCCACCATCCGGATTGTAAGCTTGCTGGCTGGTTTTCAGATCTGGCAAATTTAACTTGAGATATGATTCCTGGTCTCATCAGCCGTTGCCCCATTCACACAGTTGAACCACAGGGGAACAGTTTACTCATATCGCCCGAATAGCTACTAGCCCCGATGGAGGCTCAACAATTGCAGATGGACCAAGAAGGATTGGTTGGGCGATACTCTGGTAGAATTTTCAGGCTATTAATCTGTGGACGATGTACAAGGCGAGATACTTTCTAAGACGCGACATTTAAACTGCTGATCGGCAGTCAGTTGTACCACTGAAATAGCAGCCGGCTGAAACAAGAAGCACACCCAACAGCTAACGTCTACTCAACGGTTTGGGGCACTTTCCTTTGCGATGAGTGAAGCTGAGTAGTGTTAATATTTTCTTGATTTTTGGAGGTGGACGCTACTGAATAGTGCAGCTCACTAACCAGAAAAGCGTGAGGATCTTTGCTCACAAAATTTAGATTCTTGAAAAAGGACATATAGCTGACCATGGGAGTTCAAATGTCTGCCATAGGACAGGCAAGTGTCCTTTCAGAAGCATGGCCGACGTAAAGTTAGGTGAAGAGGACGTTGCCTCGCGTATTCTTGATCGTGACTGATTGACTAACTGACCGTTGCATCGGGCCATGATCTTTTTTGGAGGCAAAAGGCACTCAGACTCTCAATTAGAAGTCATTTATTATCAGATACATTGCAGCGAAGAATAGGTCGTCGAAAATATGGTCAGTATAACAATGCTCCTTTATTTCATAAACAATGAACTAAACCAATAAAATTTTTCAACTTTTCAGAGTGAGTTTCCTGAATTATATGTGCTCGACAAAAAAGCGCTGGAAACCCTGGAAGACAAAGGCTGGTTGGAGACACCTCAACAGCTCAACACTAAGGAACAAGCAAAAGTCAAGGAGCCTCAAGGAGATGGTAATTCGATACTGACATTCACAGCGTGGGAATCGTTTGTTAACAATTATTTGTCTACCGACTGCTGAGTAACATTTAATCGGCTTATCAGCACAAACAGGGCCAATTGTGTAATCAAACCATCCTAATCCTTCTCGTCCTGCGCATCTATCCATCCATCAGCCCACCAATCAGCGTCATTCTGCAGTTCGATGTTACCCGACTCAAAATTATAAGACTGGTGTGCTCTTATTTCTGAGGCAAAATGAGCAAGACAAATTTAGGCCATTCTGAAAATAGGACAAAAAGGATTTATCACCAAAAATCGTAAAGGATTAAGAATGCGAGCATTTAACTTCCGTTCATCTTGAAATTTCAAAATTCACCCAGCTGAAAACCACTCTGGTTGTAACCTAATTCCACAAATTCTGTCACATCGACAATTGGGAGAAAATTTCGTGAAATACCCTCATTTACACACCAATTTGGTTTTTTTATTCGAAGAGTCAAGTGAGTCCAGCTACTTCTATCGTCTATATTGCTGAAAGAAAAATAATGCGTAAATGGGTGTATTTTGCGAATCGTATTCAACTCGGGTTCAAGTAGGAAATAGAGCTGACGTGAACTCGAGGACTGCATCCACCTAATGAGCCTCAAGAGATTCGTCGCGAGATGCCGAAGAGCTTCCGGCAGCCTCATGAGCAGTACATTCCATTCTGGAACCACATTTGTTTTCTGAGCCACACACCAGGGCTAAACGAAAGGTGAGTGCGCTTCTACGTATTGGATGACCTGAAGCATAAAGATGGGATTATTCAAATGCCAATTTTTATACCTTTGGGTACCTGCAAGGCGAATTCACACCGAGGGGGTTATGTACTATTGGTGTGTTGGACTCTAATCACCAGCAGACGTTTCTTCGGTTGTGTGTGTGGTGTGTGCACAGTCATTACTAGAATCCCGTAGGGTTACTGTCTGATAATCCCCAGTATGGACAATAACTTGTCACATTCTGGAAAAGACAGCTATGTTTCTCAAATAACATAACCTACCAGATTCTGTGAACTGATGTATAGGATCTTTTTTTTGAAGTCGGCGCAAGTCGACAAGCCCTGAAAATAATCAATTAAATGTTCATGGAGAATAAACAGCATATTTGGTTCTGGCCGTTGGCTTGTCCACTGAGTTGGGCAATTTGGTTCTTCCCTTTCATTCTTGTCCATTAGGTGAAAGATAGTTTACCGAAGAGCGGATATTTTGTTTCATTGTTGCTCATCTACCTGGGTATGGTCAGAATGCTAACAAACCGGTGTTGTCTTCTGGCTTGCAGCTAAAAGCCACGAGCAGAAAACAACCGATAAGACAAAAGAGGGCAGGTGAGCTTTACAGTTGAATTTTCAAATTGTACTCAGTATTTTACATACAGTTATATGTTTTGGTGTTCGATTACCTGGGGGACAAGCTAACTGAAACTTAGAGACTAAAAATGACCAAGTGAAGGTTGTCTCCCCTGAGACTTGGACACTCTTGCGGTCTCTCCAGCGGATTACAATTTATCCACCAAAGTTAAGCCAGTTAATTACATACCTATAAACCAACTCTTATTGTGGCTGATGTGGGTGCTTGGATTAGTTTACATAGATTGGAGGACAAGGTAGACTAATTAAAGGGAGATACCTAAGATACGCCCCATAGATCTTCCTTGTTGGCGTCACACAGGAAATAAAGCTGCAAAAAGATGACGGATCTGTTGAATTTGTGTTCACAATGTCCATACCTAAACACCTGTCCCCGGCAAATTATTCCTACCGGCCCACGCCGGAGCTGGAAAGTACTGGATTTGAGTTCCATTATTAGCACAGTTTATCAGTAGTGCATACCGCCTATTCGAAACCTGGACACATGACACGTGCAGCAGGCGTTAGCACTATTTCGCCAATGTACGCTGAAGGCATCTGAATGATTTAGTCTGAACAGGTGAGCATGTTCACGCAAGTCATCTGTCAGTTTCTTTGACTACCTGGTGACCCTCACGGTAGTTTTGATCGGTTGACCCATCATTTAGGACTCCGTGATAGGTAGCGTCACGGACTAATCTGGTATCAGTGCGGGTAGCCGCCGACTTTGTTGAGTTTACTGTCGCAGTCAGCACCATGTATAGACCATTTGACAATATATTTCCTCCACACAAACTCTCACTGAAGTTCACAACAACGTACTTTAATTCATGTGCCTCAGTAAAGTGAGAGTAATGTAGGAGAAAGGCAGTTGGTATTTTCGGATGGGATCAGTAAGAAAAGATAGATCCCTACTATACGCAAGCGTCCAGAGGCGCCACCCGCGTTGGCTGAAATAGCAGCCTCCGACAAAAGGACGGAACTTTCAGGGACAAAGGGCCATTGGAGAAGCGAATAAAGGCAGAGAAAGCGTTGTGCTATTTGACATGAACAGTATGTTTTTCTACTGGAACTTGATGCCTTCAGCATATGACTGCTCTGCCAATAGGCCCTTAGATTTAAAGATTGTTTCACCAAACTGCTGCGGAGCTGGCGAGTTTCATTTAGATGCGAAAGGTGATTTGAACCATTGTACTGACCGTAAAGCAACCCATTTGAATCTGCAGTGTTCTAATTAAAAAACTTTTGTTGGTGTCCTCACAAAAATACTGCGATTTTTTAAACTTCCTGCTGCAGCAGCTCAGTTACAGTGGGACGTTTCCCAATTACTATTGATGGTTAGATGTGATATGCATTCTATTCACTTTCGCCTCCTGGTACTATTAGAAGCCCACCTCGTCTCAATTCAGCTCACCTCAAGTGGTCCAAAAGTCTCAATCAAAACGTAGTGGACAGAAAAGTGAGGAAGCGGAGGACAAAGTAAGGTTTCTATCCCCGCCAGCGTTCAACGCGTTGAAACCTCGACCAGCAATTCCCATGTCAGACTCACATCAAGATCGCGATCAAACTATGACCCCATCCCTCCCTCCACTAACAGAGGAAGACGGACAAAAACCTCAGCACAGGCTGCAACATCCAATACAATTGCTAATTGATCCAACGAATGAAATGTATAGCCCGACCTCTACGACCGATTTTGAGTTTTTAACTCGAGCACCCCTTAGCGGGCGTCCCATGAGCATGAGCTCTCCCGCATTGCATAGTGGAGATGCGGCTTTGGAAAGCATTTCTTACGCTATCGAGCAGCAACGTGATATTTTGTGGCGGCTAGAGAACGAGCAGTGTCGTCGTCTATTGGAAATGCGAGCTGAAGCGGAGGAACGTCGACGCCGTGAGGCAGAAGAACATGAACGAGAATTGGCCGAAAAAAATGAACAACAAAGGTAGGTCATGTGAGCTCAGCCCAATTCATTGTGTATACCACTTAACGCTGTCCACCGAATACTCTGGATTACACCTTATTTCAGCTGATTGTGTCAGATATTTTGCAGTATGGAACAATCATTACTCTAGTGGTTCCGGCGACAATAACTTTTCGTAGGATATTCTGGATAATACGATAGTCAGCATCAGAAAGGAGACTAAACCGCACACAAGAATAAGATACGTTGACTGATGCCGACTGGAGGTACGGCAAACTGATCTAAGCTCTCAGGAAACCCACGAGTCTGTAATGGTATGATATGGCATTGGTGTAATATAGTGTAGTGTAATGTACTTTACTGCGGTATATTATATGGCACAGTACGGTACGGTATAGTTTAGTGTACTATAGTGCAGGTTCGTCTATTGGGACACTTCTAGGTTCCTACCGGGTAATTTCAAAAAAATTGACTTCTTATCTTTGGAAAAGTGCCGCGGACACAGAAATGAAAAAGACTTTGTACGCCTACATGCTTCATAAATACTTGAAATGGCAAACAGCCGGCTCTCCGTTTGTCCGCAGAACTGGAAAAGTTTTGTTACCAATCGAGGAAACATCGTCCGTGTGTGGCTGGGTCAGCAGTAGCAGTTTGTATTCATCATGCAAACTTTGTTCGGACAACTTTGGGAGAAGGCATGGTGATTTGCTTCATGGAACACAGCTTCAACAGATACGAATATACTTCTCTTAAATACTTGAAGGGCTAAGCTACTTCTGAAGGAGAGCGTTCTGGGATCCTTTCGTTGCCACATGTTCCAACGTGCTATGGATGAGGATGCCGTTAACCCAGGTGTTGCAGTCATTCGTTTTTTGCTCATCCCACTGGTTTGGTTGGAGATTTTTCCAGCATAACTGCTTCTCTCACGTATTGTTCACATGTCCGACCATCGTAGCTTTCTACCTGAACGACGTATACATCAGGTTATGGAGCTCGATGACACTACACATTTTGTGGTCCCCCGAGAATTTCAGTAGTAGTGAAACCTAAAGATGACAACTGCTCACAGTATGCTTTGTATTCTGTGGCCAGCATTGTTGACAGCCTCTAGCTGCCGAATTCCAAAATTATATTCTCCTATTGAAGGATAATTTGCTATCCACTGCATTTGCTTTTGGACTTACGCCTCGTTCCAGAGAAGAGCCAACGAACGATGATCATGTGTGTGTGTGTGAAATAAATTCAGCTGCATTTCTGGCACCCTGCTCAGCTATGACAATGAAAATGACCGATCAGTTAGGTGTCTCTAAATGACACCATTAGTAAATTCCGCTGGCGTGGCACTCTTCATCATCAACAAGGGCTGTCAGTCATATTTCCGCCACCATCATGTACCTAGAAGGCCCCCTAGAAGACCCAATTGCACGGACTTGAGGCTCTACCCCTTCAACGTTTCTCATGCTAAACTGTTGGGATTACTCAGCAGGTGCAGAACTTTTCAGTCCACAGGAAACTTGCGAATCTCCACATCAGTTCGTCCTGATCTGATGGAAAGTGAATAGCTCATGTGAAGCAATCCTTAAAGATGGAGATTCACTCCAAACAGGGTAAATGGGGGCATGTCCGGACCCTGATACACCAACTAACTTTCTGTAACGAAATAATATGTTTAAAAGGCGACCTGAAAGTAGGTCATCAGCAGTTGTGATGCAAGCAGTATAACTAGAGTAACAGGCCAAAACAAGATTGCAATATTTCTTTATCTATCCTCCTTTTGCATGCAAAGTTCATATGCTTGAAGGACAAACTGTTACGGTATATGGTAGAAGTCAACATATATATACAACATTTCCCTCTAGGAGTCTTGCGCAAATAACAAGCGGAAAACTGATGCGGAACACTTTCATACACAATCATTGTAGTGCTACCTTTAGGAGCACAAAAGCCTCCTTCATTCTCAGGGTAAATGTGAATAAATCATTCCCCAAAATATCTAACTGGTCTCTATAGGAGGCTCGAGGGTCTTGAAGAGGAGTTGATACGGCGTTCAGAAGAGGCCAGAGCTGCCAGAGACGAGCTAGAAGCAGCCAAAGAATTGTGGAAAACTGCTTTGGAGGCAAAGGAAGACGAAATGAGAACTCTACGTGAAAATGTTGAGCTAATGTTGGCCAACGCCAAAGGCAGAGAGAATGCAGAACTGGCTGCTGCTCGCGCCGAACTGAATGAAGTAAGGAATGAATTGAAGGCCATGCAGGATCGTTATGCCGAGGTTCGAGCGGAGTTAGGAAGACGTCATCAAGCGGCCGAAGAACGGTTAGAGGAGGTTTCTGGGGAAATGCAAGGCTTACGGAGAAAAATGTCAATGGTTTATCATGCAGTAACAGAAACACCAGTCAGGGAACAGGTGGTGATTAGAGAACGGAAGGTGTCCGAAGAGTAAGTTTCACATTGTTTATTTTTGAAGAATTCTGTCGAGATCCGTTTTGATCAGGAAGATTCAGCACTCAGTCAATAAGTTGATCTGTTCAAACTAGACTGCTTGACAATGTGTCTGAAAAACAGCCGTAAAAAACTAGGTCACTTTTGGAACCTTTGCCACCAAACTGTTTTTTAAGTTTGATTTTGGGTGTGTAATGAATATAGTGTGTTTCTGTGATTTAGGAAGTTGACGACTGCGGTCGACTGCAGCTAGAAGTTGCGTGCTATACACGCTGGCACAATCTACGACTTGTATGAGGCGAATACATATTGTGCGGTAAACGGAGTCGCAAAGGTCATTCAAATTTACCTCAGTGTTCGTGATAATGCATCTGGTCGGATTGCATCAGCGCCTTGCAGCGATTCAGTTGGAAAACTTCTGGGAAGCTAACTGATCATTTGGGTAAACTGGATGGAAGTACGATGAGAAAACTACAGTGTAAGGCGCAAAACGTTAAACACCTCGGATAGAATGCGCTCCACAGACTTCGAGTTCATGAGGACTAAGGAAAATTACAGATTTGTCTTATTAAGTCTGCTAGATTACAGAAGGTTTTCATAAATATTTCCAAATGATTGATACTATCTCCAACCGTCATTCATGAAACAACAAAATTGGTGGAACAATACGTCTGTAACTTAATTTTTTAATGTTTCGATGCCAGAGAGCGTTGATTCTTAGGCCATCCTCTTTACATAATCCCAGAGATCCGGTGACCGTCCGAGGGTTGTTGATTGAAACAGTTATGTCATACTCAGCTGTGTGGTAAGATTTTGTCTAGGTGCCCTGTTTTCCACAGAAAGAGGTTGGATTCCAGCCTTTTCCGAAACCGGTAGTAATTCGCTCAAATAAATAAAAAAAATTTCTACGGAGATGCTCCCTTCGTATAGCGTCCCATCGATGATGTGCAGACCAGTGATCCAAGATCCACGACAGAATTCCCGGGCTGGTTCTAGAAGATGGAGTCATTCGAGTATATTTGGTCTTTCTGGAGGGAGGTTTGTATGACGTAATGGCTGAGAGACCGGCCTTAGCGCTCAGAAAAGCCAGAGAAACCTCCTCAATTTCGAGTAATTCTACCGGGCTTGGTAGATAAAATACGATATTTCTATCGCTTTATTATTCATCATGGACTATCCTTTAGTATTCCAGCGATTAGCTACACGACCTATTGTTGGTGCGCTTCGGCTCCTTAAACTCTTTGATATCCACCTCCGTTCGTTTTGCCTTGATGTTTGAGCACTGATCTAGTCTAACAATCGATCGCAACGCAACACTGAAATTAATTTCGATGGCATTGTTCGAACACACTTTTCATTGTACGCCCTTCCCACAACACTAGTGCCCAGTTCGGCCATCCGTAGAGTTCCCGCTCCAAGCAGCTGCAAACCGGAACAAGAACAACTCTGACTCCGTTCATATTGGATAATCTAGTGAAAATGCTGGGAAGCACATGACAAGATATATGTATTTTGGAAAGGAACAAGTTTTTGGCTTTTGTTTGGCATTTTGGATTACATATTATGTGGATGAGAGTCTAATGTGAAGTAGACAGGACCTTCTGGACAACGGGTCCAACTTTTCGAAGTCATTTTGTTCGGCGGACATTAATATTTGCATCAATGTAACTGTTATTTGATTAGTTCGAATAGATATTGCCTGTGGAAATGTCAGATAGTACATCTCAAGTGATCCCAAGTGAGGTATCGTCAGCACTCAGAGTCTGCTTACAGAATAGGACGAGAGCTTTCGAGGTCCGACTCAGAACAGACAAAAGAATAGGACTGTCAGAAGCTAGAATAAGGTTCTCAAAAGGGATCACAGTCGCTGGTATTGAATCATCTGCCAATTTGTGTTAGGTTGGTTTTAACTGCATGCGGATTATACGGTAATCAGCATCACTGTGGATCTAATGGTTGTGCGATCCCATCTTATTCGGTTTGCTGAGTAGCAACGAGCTTGGTGTAAACTCCGACCAATGCGGTTCTCATAAATTACTCTGGATTGTTGACCTAGCCTGATGGACCTAATTAATTTCATTGTCAGAGGCAGGATTGACCTTATGGCCCACATAAAAGTGGTAAGTCTTGTAGGGGGCTCTTTGTGCGAACTCAATTTGATAGCGCTCGAAACTTGTGATCACCATTTCTCCTGACCACTAGAGTGTCTAATACTGGCTACAAAGAGGGCGGTAGGATTGGCCTTAGGAAATAGTTCCCTCCAGGACTCCACCATCTTTCTGAGAAACGACCTCGATCAACTCAACTGTCGGTCATTTTCTATCGCAACATAAATATGACAAATAATTGTTCAGATGTGATACCCTTGCGGTGTATACCTGCCCCACCACACAAAGGAAGCATGAGGTCTGAGATACTACCAGAAGCAGTCGATATGCCGAGGTTGGGTACAAACCACGGACCTTCCCGTCAGTAAGCTTGCGCCTTAATCATTGTGCTACCTCGACCCACACCTGGTCAAGTCAGAACAACCTGGAGAGCTTTAATTCAAGCTGCGAAGTCGCTCTAATCAATCCATAGCTTACTGTGTAAAGATCTATCTTACAACCTTTGTTTAGCTACGCCTAACCTCAAATACCCTATGGTTGCTAGAGGCAACGTCTCACTCACTCATCTACTGTTTGCACCAAAGTGCATCGCTTGCCGGCATCTACTGCAATTAGGATGGGTTGTGTTGTGCTTGTAAGACAGATCATTCTATCCTCACGTGATGTGAACAGACGTTTAATTAAATATTGGAGTGGCAAAAAAACGAGGAATTTAAGTGAATATGGGCATGGTTGAACCGGTGAATTATCCTGTAATTTTAAACCTGATCCAAAATATCGTCTTTAGTAATCCATACTGTCAATGACTTTTGTGTCACCAATCGGACTTTAGAAATTCTGTTTGTCTAACCTACTGTTTGGTTTATCTGCGTTGGTGATAAAAAAGGTAGCGGAGTCAAGGCACATAGAAAATCTGAAGACTATTCGGGCTGACTTTCCCGCGGTTTGCGTGTTCTGTCTTGCGAAGGGAGCCAATCGGACAGGTGCATCATATTTCGTGACTTCTTCACGTGACTTCAGCCAGCGTCCGAAGCTAACGTAGAGTATGTATCAAGAGGATTTTCTCTGTGGCCAACTTACCTCTGTTCACATAACCAAGGTCATGCAGAAATCTGTGTACATGCAAATCCCACGCATTTTAAAATGAAGTGTACTTCTTTCTCCCGTGCAATGTCCACCCTCAAGAAAGGTCACTCATTTTCATTATTTGAAATGCGTTACAAGAGTGAATCCCACATTTGACGACCTCATACAGGATGCTATAATTCCTTGGGGTAGTCACCCCTGGAATCGGCTCTCCAGTTCATCATAGCAGCTCCCCCAGGAGGGCATCCAGAAGAGTGGATAAGTCACATAAGAGTCCACAGAAAACATTCCCGGCCTGATTACTACGGGTTTTCTTACCTCTTACTTATTTGCATTCAATGGGGTGATCTCTTGGAAGCTGCAACAGAAACCACGCTTCAAGCGCTGCATAGCAATTCTGGGGCGCAAGATGGCTTCGAAGCTGCTAGAATTGCGGTCGGACTGACTAAACATCTTCCCCATCCAATTTGATATATTGTCCCTTCTAGTCTCTAGTCCTCATATTGCAAAAAGAAACGTCCAGATTGCATTCTTTCTTCGAAAACGCCGCTCGATTTAACATTAGTAACTGGTTGGTTGGTTGGTCATCCTAGAATATTGATGTGCTACTCACCAGAATTGGCGAGCCACATCATATATGCAAATGAAGGGGAACTTATCGTCGACAGCAGTGTACCAATGCTAAACGCCAGTGACCAAATTTCCTACATAAAAAAGGAACGAAATCCCCGTTAAAAATGAAAAGAAAGGGCGAGGACGGTGACGCAATAAACAGTAGCCTAAAATCCAAATGGAAACCAATCAAGACCAAGGTGACCACAACGGCGTCATTAGCAGGACATTACTTGAGAACCTTACCCTGGACGCAGACTTGGCGTATAATGGTAGGCATACTTCCGCTTGGCATTCCGGCTAGGAAGTGAAGCCATGATGATCACTGGGACCGGTCACGTGTCATGTCCTCCAGAATTTTTAGTCACACATATCAACCATCCTAATCCGATAGTTCTCACTCACCACCCAAACTATTCTGGTTGGTTGCGTTGCATTGACTCAAGCATCTTTTATTCACGGACGTGTTTCAGTCAGCTTACTGTTGCCCTGGTTCAAAGGCGCCAGTGGTAAAATTTTTTGACGACAAGTAATCGTTTTATTCTGCCATCGTACGACAAGTTTTATTTTGGAAACAAAATCGTAAGAGGCGTGCGAAACACATGCTGTAAAACATCTAGAGTGTACTTATTCTGCATGATTTTTATCTCCAGTCAACGTCAGTTTTCTGAAACAACATTGGTCCTACTATGATCAAGTGTAACATGAGCAGATATTAAAATCAGACTACTTAGAACACAAAATCAGAGCAATCAGGAGACCGGCGAGATGTTAGTAGATGAAATTTTTGTCACCATGTATTTGAGGTAATCGAAATTTAGTGTTAAAATTTGAAATATTCGGTATGAGTTTTACAGTATTTAAACGAGGGGAAAAACTCGGTCTTGGACGTCCGAATGTTTTTCACAAAACGTTTTACAAAGGCATTTCATCTTCACCCCGAATTACCTCACTGCCTGGCACACTGATGGTGGATCTTATAATTCCCTAATCAGGCCGGTCTACCTCCCAGATGAAACTGAAATTTCCCTCACCGTGTGATGGCCTCTCTTCTTAGGATTACTACAGCTTTCTCTGAAGTTCCGACCACCAAGTCACACTGCAGGTCAAGCAGTGAGTACTAAGCCCATGTGGGCCTTCGCTCAACTGCAGTTAAGATTCACACAGACGTTTACTGTTCATATCCTTA